TACTTGTCGCCCGCTGCAGACGATGCTATTTTTCCTGCTGGATTGCTTGCGATTTAGTAAATTACTATCGTTGCACCACTCAGCATTCAGGATTCCTAGTAATTTACTAAATCGCAAGCAATCCAGCAGGAAAAATAGCATCGTCTGCAGCGGGCTTTACTCTAATTTATTGCACTAGTTCACCAATATAGCAAGAGATCAAATTTAACTATTTGAAGTATAACATAGAATGGTATTTGACAGGAGGGTCAAAGTTAACAAAGATAATCATAAAGTAGTATTTAACAAGATGGACAAAGATAAATAAAATACTTTTACATTGTTAAAATAGATTCGGAGAAATATTGTTCTGCTGCTTCAAGATTTAAAATGAAAGTATAACTTGACGGAGCCAAATGTAATATTTCTATCGAAGAAGCGAGAAATTAAAAATCGCTTATCTTATCCATTGCATATTTAAATTTGTACAAAGTAAACAACACTGTACAAAGTAATGTAAAAAATAGTGTACAAAGACGGAGGCCTTTTATTTAGTAATTTATATTTTATGTTATAAAACATATAAAGTAGAGGAAGCTCTTATTTAACTTTCCTGCCATTTACATACACTGCTATAATGTTACGTTCATCACCGGCGTATATAAATCTCTGGAGGTTCTCCTCCAGCGTGTATTCTCTTAAATTGTCCAACAAACTGCCTTCCGCATTCAAGTCGACAATGAGAGCATCGAATTCTTTGCCCGGCATCAAATTACCGACTTTGTCCTCGATCGAGAGTGCTAGACATAATCGATGCAATTGTAAAAAGCGTTTTGTAGATGAATGAACAGAGCATTCTTAATGATTGCCAACTTTACCTTTAGCACACCCTAATGTTGCCATATGGAAGACGTCTTTGTAACTAAGCGGTGTATAATTGTCCCTCATAAAGGATAAACAATTCGATACTCCTAAAACCGATCTCATTTCGTCCAACATACTGTAACTGGCTCCACCCGAAACATCTAAGAAGACATTTTTAATACGATAAACGTCATATTGTACAATATTGATCAAATATCCAAAGCTTGGATATTACGTTAAATATCCAAATTATTAGCGTAAAAGGAGATTCTTGTGGCACCTGTTCCAAGTCCGACTTTGACATTGTTAGCCTTTAGCCTCTGCACGTCGCAAAGACCGCTTTTCAGATGCAAGTTCGAAGAGGGACAGTGAATTACAGCTGATCCTCGTTCACTGAGAATGGCAAGCTCGTTATCTGTGAGATGGACCCCGTGCGCTAATACTGTCTGTAAAACGGCCAAATATATTGTCATACGTATGAGTCCACTGGGCCAATCACATATTTTCGCGTACAAGAAAGTAAGACATCGATTGACCACCGTTAGGTTCGGTATGACAGGTCGTACATTGTTCCATAGTCCGTTCCGTTTCACGCATGACGCGCACCATTTATCCTTGTCATTCACCAGATGTTAAATAAAGATAAATGATGCATTATGCACATCATACGTGAAACGCACCTTCACAGTCTGCTATTTAGTAGATTAACAAAATGAGATATACCTTATTGGTAAGAAGACCAGCGGCATCATAAACAGCTGTGTACGAAGGCTGATGTGGAAAAGTTTCTATCACTGCCGCTACTTCGGCTTTATTTTCAGAGACATGAGTCTACGAAGAACGAGGAACACTTTGTACTTATATAAATATTAACGTCGTACATTGTGTGTGAATGTATGTGTATGTGTGTGTGTGTGTGTGTGTGTGTGTGTGTGTGTGTGTGTGTGTGTGTGTGTGTGTGTGTGTGTGTGTGTGCTGACAGCGTATCAATAACAGCGAGCTCAATAAACCACCTGTATATGTAAATCTTTCTTTTTAGCGATCTTAGCCAGTTCCTGCATTAATTCCATGTTGCAACTCAATGCGAATCTCGGCGTGATAATCGGCCTTACGAGTGGATTCTGTAACGAGTTCAGAGTACTGTAATATCTTTCTGCAATTAATTCCAACATTGTCGACCCGAAATCGAAGAGTCGTTATCTTGCCGCGATGTCGCAGGCAGATAAAATACGAGTTTGTATTTACCCCTATTTGCTCAATAGACTTTATGAAAGCCACGGTGTCCTTAATTGACTTCTCGGTGCTTTCGTAATATCCATCGTCACGCGGGGTGTTCATATTCACTTTGCCGATAAAAGCACGTTGGCCCAGCTTCGCGGCTTTCTCCGCGAGGATCGTAGACGCCTCGGCGTATAAAGACGCAAAGTAACACGCCGTTGTTGTGCCCGTACCGATGGTTCGTTTCTGCAAAAGCACGCAACATTAAACGTTAATGAGAAGCTTTGAGAATAGCTCTTAAATAACTATACGTATGTAATATTCTACGATAACATCAGATAGAACGGTTAAGTACCACAACTGCTTCAAACACTTGCTCTGCGAATTTCGCATTAATGTACTCTCTCTCCAGTGGAAAGGTGTAAGTCTCCAGCCAATCCAACAGACACTTGCTGTAACCCAGTCCAAGATTCGGAAGCTGAACCGCATGAGTGTGGCCGTCGATGAATCCAGGCATCATAAACTGTCCAGGTGACAAAACAGTAACTTCCTCCGAGGGAGAAATCTCGGAAGAGTCGTCTGTGTTCGGTGGATTGCTTGTGTAATTCTCCGAAACACGAGTAATCTAGATATTACATAAGATAATGCCACTAATTTATATTTATCTTATTTCTATATTATTTTAAATAAACTACTCTCTAAAAGTCAATCAGTGGATTATCACTGAAAACAATAAACATAAAACAGTGAATAATTCATTGACTTACACAATTATTCACTGAATAATTCAGTGCTATATTTATATCACATATCTCACATATACTTTTACACACACATATATATGTATATCTACTCTCTAGAAGTCAATCAGTACATTATCACCGATTCACAGTTATAAGTGATAATACACTGATTGACTTCTAGAGAGTAGATATACATATACGTGTGCAAAAGTATATGCGAGATATGCGAGATATGCGTTAAATATAATATTAATCAAGTTAAACATCTAAGGTTTGAGTACTTTGCCATCCTGAAGAAATACAGCAACCTTCTCCTTAATAATCAATTTCTCATTGTCATCTGTGTGAATCAACGGACCGATAAAAACTTGCCGAACCATTGCACTGTATCTCCTGCAGATGCTTATGCTGAAACAATAAAAAATGTCATGTATGTACATGTACATTGCTATTTATCAGTTTTATAATTGCGTTCGATCGAGACTTTGAATATTTTTGTCGTTTACATCTACATAATATTACTATTACATTTCTTATTTTATTACAAGCTGTTATATATATCATAATATATTCTTAATATTACGTAATTTTAAGATACACAAGATAAACGTACGTCGTTGAATTAATATCCTATCGTTTTCTTTGCGTCATTTAATTGTAAAAAATACAAAGGAAAGAAAGGCGAGTTTTTCTCCTTACCCCATAAAATTCTCATAACGTCCGCGAATGAAATATTCACTCGGCAACGTGTCCGTCACGACTGTCGGTGCGTTCGCGACGCTTAATTTTGGCATGTATAAGTGACAGTAACGTAATCATTGATAAAACGCTTGATCAGCTTGATTGCTTCGTTATCGCACACAGCTGGCCGTTCAAGGGTAAAATCGTAGTAAACAGCTGATCCGAGAGAAAAGCATCCATCTTCGCCAATATCAAAGAGTGACTGTAAAAAGGACGGGTTTTTCGCCCCTTTTGCGGCCCTCGATTTTGGGATCGATTCATATGCGAATCAACTCCTTATAAAATATACAGGGTGAATCTTAGCTGCTGTTCCAGCTTTTTACCATGAGAGCTGGATTACCGACTGCAACTTTAGTTCACTGACCGGCACGAGAGGGCAGCTGCTTAGATCTCAGGGCTGTTGCAGGCAAGTTGAAAAATTGTTCCACTCACAGACATCACGCGGAGAAAAATAATTTGCTAGCACAATATACCATATGTAAATTTAAGTAAATTTTGTCTGTTATTTTATAATAAAGTTATTTTCTCTTTTATGGTCAACTCTGTGTTAAGAACACTAATTTTATTAAAAAATAATTGTGCGAAATACACTGCTCAAAAGAAA